CACATGTTGGGGCTGGGTTGTGAGGTGCAGTGCAGGATTGAGTGTGGCCCTTTGCTGTTTGCTGCATATACACAGGGTGCCTCAAGAGGACAAAAAAACTGCAATAGGGACCTCTTTTTTCATTTTTACGATTTTCCTAGAATCCTTTGGAGAGCGTGGAAAGACAGGCATGTTTATGAAGGTTTCCAGATGGTGCACCCCCAGCTGCACCCCCAGCTTTTCTTTTCAGTTCTTGGGCCATGAAGGATTAATCAAAGTCAGTGGCGAGGGCTGATGGCTAAACACTGTGGCTCTCGCGAACCTAGAGGAAACCCCTCTTCAACTCCAACTCAGATTCAGCCCCTGGGCTACATCGCAGAGGAAAGTTGAAACCCGAGGTTAAAAAACCAAGCAAACTTAACTAAGCCCTGGCCACATAAGTGCGGATAAACGTAGTGTGTTTATCACAGCGGTTGATCTCCTGCGGGTTAGAGGAATTTGTCTCCTACATCCAGCCAGGAAAGCGGGGCTAACCCTGACGGATACACCTGAACTCTGATCCCCTTTGTGAGCTGGGGAATTGTGCTGCTTGGTATTTATGGATTCTCTGTTACATGTAAAGATTTTAATGAAGTTTGATGTCATTCTGGCCATGACTCGAATCCGCTCGCCGTGATTGAATGCATTCGCACTATAATGCAAGACGAGTACAACACATCCAGATTGCTATGATCAGGCAAAGGTCTCTCTTTTATCAACCATTTTTAGCCTCACCATTACCGCCTGGCCTCTTGGGGATGGATGCAGATAAAAGGGCTGTCTCTTGAAAGAGGATGACAATAAAAAACACAAAAGGAGAGTTAGAACGAAACTGTTAATTTTTAAATAAGCTATTTCTGTTTATAGCGCTGCACATCGTTGCCTTAATCATCACCTTGAACATCCTTCGTTTGACAGGACCTGAGCAGGTGGAGCAGAGGATTGTCAAGTGACAGAATGTGTAGCTTGATTGGTTGGTAAAACAAATAGATTGAATAACAATAGCTTTAACAGGTTTTGAACCAATATTACTGATGCATGACACTGCAATGTACTTTCTTTATTAGACACATGCCACTCTGAACAGCTGCTCCACATGAAAATGATGAACACGCGCAGCATTCACTACATGTTAGTATACCAACTGTCAGTAGATATCTCTGTGGTGTGTTCGCAGCAGACTCACTATGTGATTACAAATGAGTCCGTCTTCAATTGGACATTCAACATTGTTCACATTAAAACACTTGAGATAAAATAACACAGAAGACACAGCACAAACATTGAAAGATTGAGAAGAGATGAACTGTATGACTCTTGCAGAGCTCTGTGGTTAGGTCTGTGTGACCCAGGCTCCCACTGAAACAACAAAACTGTCCTAGATATGGTCGTGTAAACACAGAAATATGTTGAAAACAACTATTGCAAGGCAAGCTATTTTCCTTGATAAGAGTTGTTTAAACTATAATTTTGCTGATGCGTTGTATTCAGTTGGAGACGGTTTAATTTATAGAGGAAATGTATTCCCACAAAGTCTTGCCAAAAGTTTAGTTTTACAACCACACCAGTGCAATAATTTAAATATACATCTAAATCCACCGCATATGCAGCTACACGGGATGCTGCTCTCTTGTTTGTATTTTTTATCCCTGATTATGTCAATAAATTGTAGGACTTGTCATTAGTTTTAACCTCGAGTAAACATGTAGTGCAGCCTGAGTAAACACTGTATTGGCTGAACCAGATCACCTCAGAAAACACTGTTTTGTCCCTGAGAGCAGGACCTCTCCTTGTAAGGGTTCGACAATAAGTGAGATAACTACTACCAGCAATATCTGTGGTGGTTCTGTCCATGTTTTGATCATGTGGTTTGTTCTGGAACACATCAATTACATCATATGCACTTGGCCCTTGGATAATACATAATTGAATAAGCAAATATAAGTGTGGCAGGCCCTCGTGTGGTTTTGTGTAAGGCAACACAGTTTTCAGTGATGCAAGTGCCCAGAATTAACCACGGACTCTCGTACAGAAAGTCCATGGCTTCTCAACATTTTACTACTTCTCAGCAGGTTCTCACCTACGGTAATATTGTCAAACCTGAAGAGGGTGCACATATGATTTATAGCTGTTCGGGCATCAGTCACCCCGCTCAAAGTATCCGAACTTCAAACTTGACATAATAGTCTGAATTTCCTGAAGTTCCTGGTGCTTTTAAGTTTTCAGTGGAAACTCAATGAAGTTTGACTTACGTTGGCTGTTCACAGAGGCAATATTACAGATGACATTGTGTTGCATCCAGGCCCTGTATGCTGCCGAGCAGGTTTTTATAAATGCTTTTTAATTGAGCATTTCCAAGCTTTGTTTTTTTGTATGACATCAGAACGTTTCCTTACTTCTCTGTGATAAACCAGTGTATCTGCAGAGGGAGTATTTGTAAGTAAAGAAAGGAGTATGGTAGAGAAAATTGGGACGTTGACTTGACAGTGTCATAGATTGGATATCAGTTAAAGGCTGCAGGCAAAAAAATATTCTATATCTATCGTTTTTTTAATTTAATTAGGTTACGTGCCACTGAAAAGCTAGTTGTTGCAGTTGAATGTATCTTAGTTGTGTGGATAGAAAATTCAAACATTTTACATGAAGGTTATCAAGCTGAGTTGTGATGGATTATGGTCATTTATCTGCGGTCTTGAGAGCATTACAGGTTGAGGTTTTCCTGCAACACTATTCAGGGTCTGATCCTGGGAGCTCTTGTCAGTCGGATTCTCATTGTTGTCTTCTGATAATTCAGTTGAGACATTTTACGAACAAATAGGTACAGGTACTTGGAATATATCCTGTCTTTGAAAGAAAGTGGATCTCTTAAAGAACTCATCATACAAATTAGGTTGAGAAATATAACCAATAATGCTTTAAAATGTCTTTCGTGTGGACATTGCATTTTCAGAAACGCTGGTGGTGGGGCAGGAAAACAAAGCCGGTAAAATACATTAATACCTCTGAATGAAAGTATTGTAGTCCTATGTGGTTTTGCATTCTTTGAATCCCAAATGTCATGCAAATCGGTTGAATATTTAATGGTTTAAAGAAATGTACAGATCAATGCCCATACAGACATCTTGTAAATAGAAACTGTGACCATTAAACAGACAAAAGTCATCTGTGGTTCATTAAAATATATTTAGAGTCAAAGTGCCATGAGACTCTGAGTACAGTGAAGCAGATTTGGTATGACCCGGTAGCCAAATAAACTTGCCAGGGTTTAAATATCAGCCTTGATCCTTTCTGTGTGAAGTTTACATGTTCTCCAGCTCCCTGTGTGGGTTTTCACTGGGTCGTCTGTTTTCCACCCGCAGTCCACCCACATGTAAACCAGGTGGACTGGAGATTATGTGTTCGCAGCATGTTGCGTGTGTGTCCGCCCGCCCCTGCAGAGCGCTAATGATCTGTCCAGGACCTTCCCCTCCCTTCCAGCACTGTGCATTCTGGGATGGGCCGCTGCCCCAGATAGAGATCCACGCAGCTAGTTTCGCCACCTTTTGTGTTGGGTGTTTTACAGTTGAAGACAAGGCTTCTATATTGAGCGTAGGAGGTTTTTTACAATGTTTTGAGGATCCCTTCTCCCGACTGCTTTGTTTGATCTTTTTTTACGAGGCGTTTTACACCCAGCACTCCGAGTGAGAGGTCAGGTGTGACGATGAGGTAGTTCTGATTAACTGGTAGACCTGGAAAGGTTTTTGGAAACTATTCGAGGTGTCAGGGGATGCGTGCTGTGTTATGTTGGAAACATTAAATCAGGAAATGTGTAAGAGCAACAACATGACAGCTTTTGACTAAAGTGCAAAAATTACATCCTTTTTAACAGCAATAATACAAGTTCACCTTGAAATCAAATGTCATATCAGCATGTCTCATCAGATTAATGATAGGGTTTGTTATTGGGAAGGGTGTTTGTAAGAGGAAACCTGTATGTCTGCCAGAACCTGAAAACCTGAATACATGCCAACATTATCACAGAGAGGAAGTAGATATCCTATTTTTGTTATATAAAATATGAAAATACATATTTGGAATTTTATATATAATGCTGTGTTTTGGAATACACAAAATGCTGACTTGTTTGTGATATTCAGACTCATACTGATTTAATTTATGTGGCTTTGTTATGCTAACTATCAAGGGATCCCTGTTGTTTTAGCTAATTCAGAAGTGTGCTTTGGAAAAGGATGCACTTTTTGCACCAGAGGATTGAGTCAAACGGACTTCCTCAACTCTGACACAGGATTGTGAAATCTTGTTCTGGTGGCAAACAGCCTATTTTATGTCAGAGCAAGTGGCCCAGCTGAGTAAATGCAATTTCTTGTCACAACATTCTGCATGACACGAGCATTCAGGCTGCTCGAGCTGATGCGGTTGTAAAGGTCTTTCCCAATCGGAAAAAGGCTGTGTTTCTACCAACAAACTGTCACATTCTGCAGAGGTGCTACGAGCGCCAGACAGCAGGTAACACAGATACAATCATGTGTCAGCATCTGACACTCCTCCTTCCTCAAGCCCCATCCTGTCGCTGTGCACCTCTCTCAGCACTCCCCTTCCTTCAAACGTCCCGGCTTTCGTCCCGATAAGCATGCTTCATCCCAAACATATTATATCTATTCAATCAGGGGGATTAAGTGTAGATACATGACTTGTTGGACCATTCCAAGGACCTGAGTCAACGCATAAACAACTCCTACGCTATGTCAGGGAAATATTTATCTTTGCTCATAGAACTTCTTGAGATAGTGTCAACACTGCTTAGAGGCATAATTACATTTGTGGATGGGAAACTAAGAGTTCTCGTGGAAATACAAGTGTATAATATGAGTTAAACTTAGAATACTAAATAATAATGTGTGATGTTTCATTATGCCATTTTATTTCCAAATCATCATCAGCAAGAGTAATATCAACCAAATAAATGTTTCTTTTTTTCTCAGTAACCACAACGCCACCTCCAGCCTCAGGCCACGCCAGAAAATGCAACGACACAGAGAAAGCCTACTGTGTGAATGGCGGCGACTGTTACTTCATACACGGTATAGATAAGCTCGCCTGCAAGTGAGTTATATTCTTGTTTTTTTCTATTCACCTTGAAAATATACATTTTTTGACATCGTAAAATACATGTATTGTATAACATTCAAATCACTTTTCATGATGTTTCCAGTAATATTCCTAACTCTTCATATTTGTTATCCTGCTGTTTATTTTCCTGATAGCACTTGATCTTTCCTTTCAGCAGCAGCAGCAACACATCACAGGAAAATGCTGCCAGTCTTCCTAACTACCCACCTGTTGTGTATTTTAACACTAATAATGGAGTGAGGTGGCGGTGTGCTCATCCTTTTATATCATGTTTAGTGTACAGGAGGGCTTCACATTAAAAGCCTTTTCAAAATGTCATGAGTCACTGGTTTAGTAGTGAGCAAATATTTATGCTTGTTAGAGGCCCCCAGTGAGGTAAATAGAATCATTGCTTACATGTGAGGTCCTTGGCAGAAGGGATCAAGACCCATGTGTAAAGTGCGCCGAGGAACTGTGTCTCTCAAGGAACCTTATTCGACACGATGTTCAAGAGTTATTTAAAAAAAAAAAAGGTTTTTTCCCTTTTCAGGACACTGACAAGGTTTTATGAGTAGAGATTCAATGACATCAATTATTTTGATAATCGCCCAAGATTAAGAATCACTGCTTTCTAATTCTCAAATTTTAATTATGGCTGCTTTCATTTTTGGACATTTGAAGATTTCTTTCTGACATTTCACAATTTATTCAAGGAAATAACCGTCAGATGAAAATCATTGTAAGTCTAACCTAATAATTATAGCACAAACTATGCACATATGTCTTGCCATGGTTGTCAAACATTATGTTGCATATGTGCCATATGTCATATAGCATTAGTCCTCTGTCTGGTTTTCAAATAGAGCTGAAACATTGGCAACGCTTCGGTGCCCAGTTGGCCCGAGGAAGAATGCTCGACAAGCAATGAGGACATGGCTGCAACAGCCGTTCAATACGCTGTGTACAAATTGGAGGCAGCACTAACTCAATTGCTGCAGCTAATTCACTCACAGCCGGGGCATAAGTCCAGAAAAGTTGGATAATGCAGTGAAGGCCTGCAGGGATTTGTTGCCCCCCAGCCATCTCATTCAATATAGGCCAGGCTTCAGTTGATATTACTCACTGGCTAAACAAGTCCTGCAGACAGCTAGTCCTACTTTAATGCCCTGCTCCTTCACTCTGAAGGATACACTTTGTTTTGGGCAGACGTTAAAGTTAACAAATGACCCACAGTAAGCAACTCACTAAATGTAAACATACTTGTTCTGATGATTTTCTTCACATAAATTAGCTATAACAAACAAATATAGACTTGTTTAACATATTGCCCATAAATAAAGCGTTTATCATTTTTATGGACTTTTTCCAGGATATTTTCAGAAGGTTTAATTCACATTTAGTTGGATAAAGATAATGTAGATAATATTTTCTTGATCAATTAAGTAGGCGTTTTAAAAAACTTTTTTGCTTATTCCATGGGGGATGTTTTAAAACTTTAGACCAACAAAACTGGAAGATATTCAGTTCATTTAAAACGGAGAAAAACAATCAATTTCACACCAGAGAAGCTATCAAATAAGATGCAGATGAAGATTCTGTGAAATGACTAATCAATTGAGAAACTAATGGTTTCAGCCCTATTCAAATGTATACAAGTATATTAGCGTTCTTCTTTCTAAGGGAATGTAATTAACTTTTAACAAGTCACCTCTATGTGGGACTTGACAGAGGATTATGTAATTGTATTGTACATAAGTGCAGTATATACAGTATGTAGAAGTAGAAGTACAATTCCACACGCTTCATGGAAAAGCTTTTCCTTTCTACATTTTTATTTTTCATCAAAGAATAATAAATAACGACAGTGATTTATTATACACCAAAGTTAAAACGAGTGGTAATAGAGTTTGCATCTGCACCGGCACGGACATTTGCACGCTCATCTGATTTTTAAATTACGCAGTTTATTTCTTTCATGTTCCAGCCAAGTTTCCTAGGTCTAGGTGGTGCTATCCCCCCGTTAAACACCATCACTCAGGATGAGTAATTTAATGCTGAATGTTATGGCGCTCCTGGGAGGCATTGTGTGAAACCAGTAAATCAGGAGCAATGACCTTTGTTGGACTGGTGGTGGTCTAGTTGAGTTTGTGAGAGGAATGCCGTGCCCCTCAAAGACCAGCCGCTCTTCCTAATGGGCTTGTAATGAGGAAATATGGTTTGTCTTCACTCACTTGATGCTGATGATACAGTAGTTTGTCTGCAGTTGCAAAAATATGACGTTAAATGTCAGAGAACTTGATTAATGCTTCAAACAATGAAGAGAGTTTTCCAGGTGGTTTCATTTCCATATTATTTTTAGGACTGGAAATACAAGAAATTCTTTCTCCTCATTTGATTACTTTTCCTCCCTGTCACATTTGGAGGTAATAAACACATACCAGCTCACGACAGGCACCAGGAGAAGAAGCCACATTAACCCACTTTTTGCTTCATGATTGATTTATTGATCACATGGGCCCAGTAGTTCAAAACTTTTCATCCCTATCTGATCAGATCAGATTGTGGGTAGTTCAAAACCAAAAAACAGGATTAGGATCACTTTGATATCCGATCAGATCAGGAAATCCAATCCAAGCTTTAATCTGGATCGAATCTTCAAAACGGGTAGTTCAAACCGACAACACAGGATTGGGATCAGTTTGATCCTGAAAAACTGGATTATCCTGATCCCACCAGGGTGGATTTCCAGAGCAAAATGTACTGTACAATTTATTTAAAAATATGTTTCAATATAAATAAGATGGCAAAGTTTGTTAACTGAAATAATACACCATTTTTAGCCTTCATGGCAAATCAATTTTATTTTTCATTTTCTGGTCACGTTTGTGGTGGCCTATTTAGTTTTCAACCAAATGTTGATGACATAAATGTTTATGCTCATAAAATTATCACAACAAAGATTGTCAATCACAAATGTAATTTAGATTAAAGAAAAAATATCTTCAACAAAAAAAAAGTCCATCATCACCTTTCAAAAGTAATTGCGGACAATAGATGTCTCTGCAATGTGGTCTCTTGTCTTCCTTGTATTATTTTTCATATCCACTAGATGGCGATCGGTAGGATTAAAGCACTGATATTCAGGATCTAGTAATCTTGAAAAGTCTGAATCTGGATCAGAGTGATCCTATCCTGAATTGCTTTGAAATACTGGGACAAAATCTGTCCACGTTGTCTGATCCTGGATCACAAAGAATGGGATTTCAAAATCTGATCGGATCTGATTGAGATTAAAAGTGTTGAACTCCTGGGCCCAGGAAAGCAGCACATGGTTTATCCACAGATACACTTTTCTTTTTCCCTATACAGACTGAGGTCAACAAGAGCCTCTGAAGCCCAAATATGACCTTTTTATATCAGTATGTCAAACTTGTTTTTGCTAACAAGCAGGGTATTTACCTTTTTAATGTTTAAGTTTTTTAAGTTTTAGTATACGTTTGCTCACTTGTAGTAGCATTTATTTGTTTACTATTTGTTCTTTTAATTTTAGAAATAGATGGTAAAGCAGTTTATTTCTTTACTGTGTAACATTTATCAAAGAGGCCCTATTATGCTTAATTTCAGGTTTATATGTGTTGTGCCTCTACTGTGACCTGTTTGCATGCGTGGGAGAGAAACTTGATCTGGAGGGAACTTTTGCACACCATTTACATGCACAAAAACCTATACAACACACTGGAACGGGTAAACCCCAAAAAGCATAATAGGGCCTCTTTACATACAAAATATTAACATCATGGGAATACCAATCATCTTTGGAAGTGTTGCTTCTTGTGTTTTCACTTTGTGTGCTTTCTCCATGTGGCTTCACAGTGAAATTCAACAATACGCCTGAAAGGATTTCGACCCCCCGGTATTTACAGTGCACCTCACTTCCTGTGTTTTTCCTTCTCATAACACTTGTCTGCTCCTTCCCAGATGTCCGGACGGATACTTCGGCCCACGGTGCTTACAGACTGAGCCGCTGCGGCTGATTATGCCCAAGCCTACAGAAAGTATGTCCACTTGATATGAGCAGCTGAGAACAGAGACACAGTTGTCACTGGATTACCTCTGGACTGACTCCTGCTGCCCAAAAGTTCTCTTCCTCTTTCTCCTCCTCTTTCTCTTCCTCAGGTCAATGAGCTGCGCGTTACACCATGCACACGGTGGTGTCGTCCATGGGAACACTCTGCTTCTGCTGTCTGTAGTTGTGCTGTTGTTCTAATTCTCTCTTTCTCTCCCTCTCCCTCCCTCCCTATCCCCCCTTCACTCTTTTCTTACGTATACTTTTCACTCTCCCTCTTTCTGTTGTCTCTCTCTTTCTCACTCACCTACTGTACCACCCTCCTCCTCCTCCCTCTCTCTTTGTGGCTTTGTTTCTTTCCATCAGGTGTCCAAATGACTTTACTGGTGATCGCTGTCAAACCTACGTTATGGCCAGTTTCTACCGTATGTCAATTTCCTCTTCTGTCACTCTGTCAGACTGTCCTTGTGTCATGCGTGCATGCTGGGTGTAGAGAGATTGCATTCATTTCCTGTTATTATTACCTAATAGATGTGTCTGTGCCTCCTGCGATGACTCAGAGTTTAGTCGAGTCTGTTATTGTGTTTGGTCTGCATGTGAGTGCAGTGTGTTGCATGCACGTTCTTCAGAATACGAGCCGATAGTACGTGTGATAGCAGCAAGTAGGCGGCAGTACTCAGATGCTATGTGGATTTTCACAAAGTCAGCTGCATGTAACAACACAGTCTAATGGCAAAACAATTACTAAAACCCTATCTTAATCTTGCTCACTAATGATGCTTGTTTGTGCAATCAGCGGCAAACACAAGCATGTATGATCGAATTAAAGCTGATGGATGGAGAAACAATTAGCATTCACTAAGGCATGACAAATGATGAACCTGTTAAGACGTGCGCTGGCTTAACCCATAAGGAAGTGTTTGTTGAGGGCCAACAAGACATCTCATGTAGGATGTGAAATTGTGACACTTTAATATGTGCATCCATAGGTCTGTACATTGTACACGAGCCAACATGAAAACATTCCACTTGTGTTTTTCTTGACTAATTAGATTTTTATCTCAAACATAATAGGGATTTACCAAAGGTAAAATCATTCGCAGCAAATATTTTAATGTTAGTGTTCTCGCTTCATGGGTTACAAGTAGCACATACAGGCGTTTCTTTCACTTCAAATCAGCCGCATAACTCGCTCAAGACTCAGACTCTAGTAAATCGTAACATCCACACTACAATCCGCCAGTTGTGTTTGTTGCTTCAGAAGAACAGCAACAAAATGGTGCTCTCACAGCAGATGTCCTCAGCTAAGAGTTCACACGCTGCACTACAGTGCCGTGTCAAACTACTTTGCCTGGGGTAAGAGAAGCAAACCTCATCACCACTCAACATCAGAAAATAAATCCATCAAAAGCTAAATGAAACGAAGATTTCCAGATAACTATGGTTTTGTTAGATCTTGCCTTTGAGGTATTTTGATTTAAAAAAACATCATCTATTACCTGATTACTTGAAAGTGTGAGCCAGAATAAAGATAGTGTACGGTAATACCATATAATTAAAATACAACGCCCATTTTGGATAATAGCAAAGAATCTTCTGGTATCTTTCTGCATATTCGTCAGCGTCATGTCTTTGCAAGCCCATGTGGTTGCAATTCAGTGTAACATAAGAGTGAAATAACTAACTGCATCTGCTTTTGCCTGATGTTGCCTTCAGAGTCTCATCCCCGCAGTCTGACTTGCAGAGCTTACACTCAGTGTTTGTTGTATGTTGGCTCAGAGTACAATGGCAATAAACCCTCTTAACTACAAGTAATTTCATCTCGCATTAAGTCGAAATGCACTGTGCTGAAATGACTTGTTCTTTTGGCAGAGCAGACAGTGATGTGTGGGAGCTCTTTTTCCCTACACTGTGTTCTGCATTCTGTCTAACTTCGACGCAGCTGTGCAAATGCATCAAGGACAGCATTTATTTCCAGCTCTCATCCAGCTACATGAACACAAAACAGGCTTTGATTACTTGCTTTACATTTGAATTTGTTCAAATCAATGACCTGACTATCCGTACGCTTAACAGATTAAAGTTTAAAAGTAAGTTCAACAATCAGATGTTCTCTGATGAAACGTTCATCCATCAATAATTGAATGCTGTTATTTAAAATATAAAAGATTAAGCCTCCTCTCAGTCACATCATATGATTTAATATCATTGTTTATCCAAGGATATTAACCTCATGGGTTGAAAAAACGTAAGATCAACAGTTCATGAAAGCCCCTTTCAGACATGATGGATGTAGCTGTTAAGGGACTTTTGGTTTTTTGGAAAACTAGCAATCGTTAATGGCCTCGCACATATTTCATGTTTCCTACTCTCAATTAAGGCGAATAAATCACAGTTTTAAAGCAGTCACATGTACACACACACGCACACACTCCATATTTAAAGACCCATCTCCTGGAGGGCGCCTCCCATCCCCAGGAGATACCAAAGAGAAGGAGGATGGCTTCTGCTCCTCAGCCATAAGGGCTTGGCTTTACAAGAGCATGTTGTCATAAGAACAGCTGGGACTAGCTTCAACCCAAGTAAAGCAAGAAAGCTGCCAGAGATATGGACTCAGCTGGTTGGTGCAGCCTCCCTAGGGCCTCTCTGTGCCATATGATATAAAGTCCAGCTATAATTCTTCCTATTCCGAGAGATTACTCAGATACTGTACAGATACACTCCTTTTTACTTGCCTGTTCATGCGATGGGTGTGTTCGGGGGAAATTACAGTGTAGCGTTTTTTAGAAAGCAGAAAACTGAAAGCCCAGGTAATCTCAACAGATGACGCATATTTTCCCCCGAGAGCAATAATGAGAGTGACTGTGCGTCTAATTTTTCCAAATCCCATTAGGAGATTTTGTTCCGTTATGTTATCAAATATAACTCTGCAGGCCTGGAAACACACAACAAAGTGAGAATCAGACTGTGTTGAGACATACAGCAAATAGAAAACTGCACACAAAAGAGAAATTGTGTATTTCGATTAGACTATTTTAGACATAACAATCAAATCAGTTAAGACTGAAATGGTAGTTTTTGTGGTTTCACGTGTGTGTTGCATGCTGTGTGTTCCCGTCGTTGACATTACTGACCATGTCATGCCGACAATTACTGACAAAGTGTTTGTTGTCCCAGTTGCCGTAATGCATATTTTTGTTTGCTCCACTGTGTGTTAGAAGGTGTCACTTTCTAAACCTGGTCTTTTGTTTATTTTTGTTTCTCTTCAACTGTCCACCCTCTGCAATGGCAGAGCATCTTGGGATTGAATTTATGGGTATGGAAAAATCCATTTTGACTCTCTGCCCAAGCATAACTATTAAATAGGTGTCCTTCGTTTTGACTTGCTCCCATTCCTGTCTGTTAATCATATCGTCCCTTGATTAACCAATCAAATCTCTCTATCGTACCATTACTCATTATAATGACAAACCCGACGCATCCGATCCTCCATCAATCATCATTAACATGGATGTCCTCACTCGCAACCCTCATACATGTGCAATGGAAACGTAGAACCATTAACAGAGTTTGCAGCTCAATAGCATTTTTCCCCCTTTTTTGGACTGATTTTTGTTTTCTCATTCCATCTGTCATAAGCATGGTGTATCATGTTGGTAGCTACCAGATGTCTCTCCTCAATCTTCACCTTCATCTTTCCAAACCTTTTAGCCTCATACCTCTAGTGTCTGTCTGTTTCCTTTGATATGCCACCCCTTTACTTTTGATGTATGTGTTCTGTCCATGTTTCCTGCATCACCCCGTCGTTAGAATAGCTTAAATGTAACTTCTGAAGTATGTCATATAATATCTGTGTAACTGGTTTGAATTATCCTATGAGGATACTGTGATGTGAGCATGCATTGCTATATTTAGAACCTACATTCATGATTTTCTTCTATCTCCAGCTATTTTCATCCTCCTTTGTTGTTAGCTCTTGTTTTCTGCTAACTTTTCCAGACAAGTGCTTCACTGGTTGAGGGTTGTAGAATGAACGCTAAAGGCGTTTCTTTCCAGATCACAAAATAACACATATAGAAACTGGACCTGCACCAAGATGCAGTTGTACACATTCATTTATTTGTGGTACATTATTTATCAGACACCACACTACCTCTTAGCTCCATCATGTCCTCCAAGGGCACAGGTCTACCTCAACCTCACACAAGCTCTTCTCTGGAAAAGCACAATTTAAGTCTAAATTCTTCCAGTTATATATTTAATGATATTTCATTTCAAAATGAATTTGTTTAATGAATAAGCGTAAAATAAGATCTCATAATTGTACTTACTGAATACATGAGCAGATGAAGACTTCTGTAAGTGAATGCAGCTGTTGTTTAAGATCATGTCAAAACATTTCCAAATCACTTCAGTGACACATCGGTGTTATACTGCACAGTTTGCAGGTTCCGCTGGTCATCCATTAAGGGCCCGAACCATTAAAGTATCATATATTGTATAATTTGAAATTACTTGGATTGTTAGAGGATACAGCTGCTTATTCGATCAGTCCAACTCCCTGCCCCCACCTACGCCGCCTTACTGCAGCGCAGGCGGCAACAGCATCTGTTGTATTTGTGATTACTGTATGTGCGAGGAAAGGTTTCCCTGTGAAGTGAGTTGCCAGGGAAAGGAAGGTGAAGCTTCATACTGCTCAGGATTTAGTCTATAAAAAAGTTAAGAAATGTGGATCAGTGAAAAAGTGGTGAACCTGCATTTTTGTGACACTAATTTCTTTCTCCTGTTATTTTTCTCCCTGTGCGTGTGCGTGTGTGTGTCTGTGCGTGTGTGTGTGTGTGTGTCTGTGCGTGTGTGTGATGTTGACAGAGGCAGAGGAACTCTACCAGAAAAGAGTCCTGACAATCACGGGTATTTGTGTGGCGCTGTTGGTGGTGGGCATCGTGTGTGTGGTTGCCTACTGTAAAACCAAGTAAGTCCTGCTGATTAATGAATTTTAACATTTTTAACTCCACCTGCCTTTCTTAAAATATGTATGTATACTCAAACTGTTTTCATTGCATGTAATATGCAGAAGAGAAATAGAAGAATACTGTTTATTAGTTAAAAATTAAGACATTTTGATATTTTTCTGGTTAACATGTCGTTTTTTGTTACTACTAGAGTGTCGTAACTTAAAAACAAAGAGCAAGAGGGAAATTGACCAACATTTGCTCAACAGGAAACAAAGAAAGAAGATGCACACTCATCTGCGACAAAATATGTGTCCAGAACATCCCAATCGTAACCTTGCTAACGGACCCAATCACCCCGGACCAGGCCCAGAGGAAATCCCTATGGTAGATGTGAGTTTCTGAAAGGATTCCTAACGTTATTAAAGTAAACGCACACAGATGTATTGTACACCAAATGGTTTAATGCTTAGTTATATAATCAAAGCTTGTCTTTTTTTCCCCCCCACATTTTTCCATCTGCCAAATCCATTTTTCCCGACACAGTACATATCAAAGAATGTCCCTGCAACTGAACGAGTCATACGGCCTGCAACAGAGGGATCGTTCCCTGCCAGCCATAACTCTTCCAGATCTCACAACTCTTCCACACGAGCCCATTCATCAACACACAGGTGAGCATTCATAACACCAAACCATTTCTTTAAGCGGTCAAACGCCTCTGGAAACAGGTGAATTGGTCAAAAATACCAAAAGAAAAGGATAGAAAAAAAGGATCACGCTGGGGTGTGTGTTAACACCTTTTTTATTTGTCAGACATGAGGAACGGACATGGAGCCTGGCACATTCTGACAGCATCCTCTCCGACTCGCCGGGAATGATGTCATCATCCGTGGGGACCAGTAAATGCAGCAGTCCTGCGTGCATGGACGCACGGGCACGACGCGCTGGTCACTGTGGTTACTCTGACCCCCATCGGACGGGCCTGCAGTACAGAGACTCTTTCGACTCGCTGGGAGACTCTCCGCACAGCGACAGGTGGGAAACAGGCCTATGTGGCTGTAGGTTTGGCGTTAACATTCTCGAAAAGTTTGATCTCTGTGCTGGTTCTCTCTCAGCCTCAGTCCCAGTCAGGGTACTCTGAGATTCAGAGGAAACTGACACACAGCAGGCATGACGATGAAATACGCTAAGGTAGGCAGGTGTGGAAAATGGGGACAATGTGCATACAGCTATGTAACATTAGTCCCTAGCCAGTATGTCATTCCGATTGGCTTGAGCTTTCCCTTTTTATTTCCCTTAAGGATCCATGGGACCTTTTTGGACATACACTTCTTGGCCAGAAACGATTTCATCCGTGCGTCACAAGGAAAGGTAGAGGATACATTTAGCTGGAAGCTGGAAGAAGAAGTTAGTCTGTCAGAAGTCAGAAAATATTCCTTTCAACAACCCCAAAGCAGTCTATATTTAGCATTCCTGCGTCTATTTCTGTTCTTAAGGCACAGAGATGTCAATCTTCTCATGTGACTCAACATGTCAAACAAGATTATTTCATCAAATGTCTGAGTGCTCCCAGAACATGTCAGCTCAAACACAATTAGTTCACTGTAAATATTGTGCTTTCAGTTCTGCCACATGCTCTTTATTTCATTTGCAATGTCACACATGGTCCAAATTTGAAGGGATATTGTTATAGGGGCCTAACAATGACCCTCCCCACCCACTCCCAAAATGCCCTCACTGTTAACGTTTACATTTCCAATTTGTTTTAGCATCCATCACTCAACAAGCTCAATAAGCACTGAGCTAGGAGAACACACAGGGGTATGGGAGCACTATTGAGCCATATATTAAAAGTATGAAGTGTACGTTTTAAGCACAAAAACAGTGGGTTACTTATCTTTTCCAAAAGTAAACAACTTTTTTGAGGGATTGGAATGATGGCCCAGCTATGTCGAGGAAGTCGGTCTCTGTTGTAATTGAAGACCCTGTGTTTAAGGTTTGAAAAAACATGCTAAAGGTTGCTTTACATGAAGTCATCCAGCCCTTTTCTACCGATAGCTTACACACAGCCTTATTAACATTTGCTTCAAGTCTTTAGAATCAATATTTACCCTAATGTCTTCTGTATTGGACCTTTAATTATTCTCAGCATCAGCCAATTTAAATGGGTCACTACATAAGATCATTTGGACAGGAATGAAGTGAAAATACAAGAACAACGAGTTCAAATGCATTAAAACTAACAAAAAGTTGAACAGACGATAACAGAATGCATAGTGACCCACTGACCTCACAGGATAAGGCTTGCTTATGGCTTTAGAGTTTTAAGTATCATTCGGGCCAACCAGAGCCACACTTTGGACCAGATGTAGACCTTACACACTTAACACATTAACTTATGCCTGCTAATGCTGCAAAATGCTTACTTGAGGTGTTGAATATGCAAATCGGTGCATGTCCAACTTCAGTCCCTGGGCCAAAATGAAAGTAATGGACCAAGAATATTCCTAATGTCTTTATAGCTGCATGCATCCATTTAAGTATTAAAACATTTCCAGAAATGACGACATGACTTAAGCCCCTTTCCCACTGGACAAATATCCCACTAACTCCCACTAACATCTGGCTTTTTCTCTTTCGTGGGAAAGGTTACAATCAGCATTCATTCCCGGGACAAATCACTTGTGAAGTCACAGGTATTTGTCGGCTCCAGCTTTGATCAGCAGTGATACAAATATGACCCAGGGGTGGACCGCATTTTTTTTTGCCCTTTTATAGTACAATGTCCATGACACATGTTGAAGTGGAGATATAATAAATAAAATCAACAGAGTTTTGGAGAATTATTAGAATGTATAGAGTACAAAACATGTAATTGATTTGGAAAACTACCAGATTCCATCCATCAGTAATTTCATCACACTGATTCATGTAAAAACTCACAAAAAGATACAAATAACTCCTTAAAACCTTGTTTTACTCTTTCACTGTTCCAACAATGACTTACACTGGTTTGTGAGTTTCAAAAAGAGACAGAATAAGTAACAATGTAAAAATAGAGTAACCATCTTAAATACTTGTTACTGTTTATTAACCCTGTTTTCCGGCACGTCAAGTATGTTTCCCCATGTCCTAATTTTGGTAACATAAGGGTATGACTTACTGCAGCAAAAATGTAAATAAGATACTGTATAAATGACGAGACTATGCAGTCCTGGCCTATTATCTGAAGCAAATAAACAGTGCCTTTTATAGACTGTCAAAAACAAACTGGACAAGATGTGTCTTGCCTCCTATGTGCATCAGCTTCATCGTCCCAACAATGCCAGCACACAACAAGCATTTCAGCACGAAATGTGCCTTGGCCAATGAGTTGCTATGCAGAGTCAGATTGCATAACCAACATCCCCTCAGAGTCATTCCAGGTAACAGGCGCCTGTTTCCATTATGGCGACGGCTTCGGATTCAGCTGAATCAGCAGTGTTGTGGGAATATCTCAAGCTTGTGTCTCACACAGCGTGTTGTAGTTTCCTAAGGGCAAAGAACATTTGACACAAAAAGTCTGATCTCCAGTCAGTGATATGAGGACTTGAAACTGCAAATTGTATTGACAATCATGTTTAGTTGGTGTATGAATATAGTTTTGTAACTGTCAATCAACATGTTGGCAACTAGGGTTAGTTGGAGAAGGGATGGAAAAGTGGGAACCATGACTCCAAGACTCAGTCAGTCGAGAAAACGCACTCTAAATGTACCTGTCTTTAAAGCTTGATATTGACTTTCTACTTCAAGAGCCAAGCCGTACGTTTTTATCTAGTGTTTAACAATAATTGGGGGGTTGTGTATCTTCAAGAACTTCTACATTTACTCAAGCATTCAGTCATGGTGCCAACATGGCCGTGACACATAATTAAACAAGATAGCATAAACTGAAAACCACAGTAAGTTGGGGATGAAGGTATAGAAAGGTGCAGCATGCCATTATTCAAAGGATTAAGAGAAATATTGTCTTGTGATCATTGTATACACTAAAATGCTAAAGGGAAACCTTGCCGTGCAGGTTGGTCCAGAGTCTGGTATAGAGAAACATTTAGTCACCGTCATTCTTTAGAATAGACTATACAGCAACCAAAAAGCAGCTGCTCCTGGGTGTGCTGCAGTGGGTTGTGGGTTGGTGTTTGGATCAGGGGAGCACAGGTTCAAACCCCACTGCAGTCGGCATGTCGTTGTGTCCCTGGGCAAGACACTTCACCCCAAATTGCTCCTGTGGGGATTGCCCACAGTATTGAGTATGTAAGTCGCTTTGGATAAAAGCGTCTAACTGGGATTTGATTTTAACTGCTTGAGACGCTCAAATAGACAGGTGATCGTAAAACAAACTGCTGGAAATGTTATTGATACAATCCAAAACAGTCATTCAGATTCACTGTCATGCAGTAGAAAGAATGTTTATGAATGTCTGTTAAGACAATCACTTTTTCAAATCCTCAGCATCAACCAATTTTATATTTGTATTTTATAAGACCCAAGGATATTAAAAAAAGACATGGCTCCACATCAGATCCTTGGGGGACACCACCAGACTCCAAGTCTGTAAACATGGAATATGATATACAGTACTGTAGTATTGCTGTTGTTTAAAGCGGCTCTTCTTTAGTTCAATTCATCAAGACTTTTCCCTGATTTTATATTTGTCTTTCACTGTAGATGCATGCAAAATAAATAAAGAATTTAAGGTAACACAAGGTGATAACTTTCTTTGAGTGACTTTTTTCAACCTTGGTCAAATCTGCCGATAAAAAAACTTCAGATCAAAATAGAAATATCTCAAATATATCATCTTTTTTTAAATTGAGACGATGTCAATGGTCAGGGAAGATATTATTTAAAGTTACAATACCCAGTGTGAAAAAATACCTTACAGCAGTTCAGCTCAAGAGGACATCTAGGTTAAATGAATGTATGATACAACACTTGTTTTCCATTTAATATTTCAGTGCCTGCTTACAGCTTGCTTGTAACTTGGCAATTTGGTAGTTCATTCAATTAATCGAATGTTGGGGGAAAATTCAGACAGATTTCTTTGAACTCTTCCACTTGCTCACTTCTGCTTGTTGCTCTTCTCTCTACTTAACTATGCCCTCATCTCTGCTTTTACTACAGATACGTGTCAGCCCTGACGACACCAGCCCGACTCTCCCCAGTGGATTTCCATTACTCATTGCCCTCGCAGGTGCCTACCTTCCAGATAACATCCCCCAATGCCAGCCATGCCATGTCTCTCCCTCCTGCTGTCCGCAACCCCTACCCTCTGGAGGATGACCAGCCCCTGTTGCGCCGCTACCAGGTGCCACTACACGATGCCCAGTGCCAGGAGCCCTACCGGCAGCAGCGCCGCACCTATCTAAACGACAGCAGGGGCAGCCTGCCCTCCAGCCCCTACCGGCTGGCTAAAGAAGAAGACTATGAGACCACCCAGGAGTATCTCTCCTCTCGGGAGCAACCAAAGAGAAGTGGGTCCAGTGGAACTGGTAGCCGGCGCTGGCGGAGATCCAGACTTAATGGCCACGTGGCCCCGCGTGGATACGAGGCCTCTCGGGACTATGGGTCTCGAAGCTGCCTAACAGATAGTGAGTCAGAGGAGGACGGGGAGAACACACCCTTCCTCAGTATGCAGAACATGAATGCCGAGCCCTCCACCATCTACAGGCCGGTGGACAGTCGGACTTATCACTCATCGGGGCGGCACAGTGGGCATGGGAACATGCATACGAGACTTACACACTCACGCTCCAAACCGGACAATACACCCATTAAAGAGTGAAAATGAACCAACAAAAATCAATATAGTATAGACCTGCATCTATAAGAAATATTTTTATTTTATATAACTGAGATATTCTAAACAAATGAAATATTTATTTTCATTTTAGCAAAAGTTGTCTACTAGTTAACAGCGAAGACTTTTTTATAGGGAAAACTCTATTTATATGTACATTTTTGATTTACAGCATAAAAAGATGTGCCAGTTTTTTCACAACGTAAAAGAATAATAGTAATATTGTGGTGCCTTTTGCTGTATGCCGATGCCAGAGGGCCAGTGGAGGTTTTTGTAGCCTTTCTTATATGGACGCCTCATTTTTTATACACATTTATGTTGTTTTTTCCTCTCTGGTTTCCTGTTTTACTTTCTTTCCAATTTGCATTCTTTGAGGAGTCTAGCCCCACTGGAACATAACCCCTTCCATGTCATGCAATATAAACCACTTCAACATAAAGTGTATGTTTACATTAATATGATTCGCCTGTAGGGTATATGATTTGGGATCTAATAGAGCGCCTGATAAATACAATGTAGATCCTTTTTGCCCTCTGACTGATGTCTACAGAAAGATTGTGTGTGTGCGTGTGTGTGGTGGGGGGGGGTGATTGTTAGATGAATTTCATTGTTTGTTGTGATGACATCAAACTTGTGGATCTACCGGTGTCTCAGCAGAGGTGACAGAAGAGTGTATCAGAGGTTCACAGAATAGTGCTTTATCAGAACAGTGACCCCCAGTGTATGTGGACAGGTAAGGCTGTTTTAGGGTTGTATGTTATGCAGGTCATTGCTTGATGTGTTTACAGCTATTCCTTCACTTTCCCAGCCTGCCCCAGTTTAGTCCTCTTTGATTCCCCAGCAGGTTTTCCCTTATGTTAGTTTCTTAAGAGGTCAACACACGCTGAGCCGCTTGGCACAGGGTGACCCCTGCCATCAGGAGTGATGGCAAAACAAAAAGATGACATCTGTTTTCACTCAACTCAGCCCCTAATGCCATTCCTCATCATCCTTCTGTGTCCATTCTGTTTTTGTGGATCGTGTTAAAGGCCACACAGTGTCTCAGGATTTCCACTTGCCCACCCCCCCTTTTCCCTTCCACCTTAAACTCTGTTCACCCTCTTCCTCAACTTAAGGTCTACCTAAGACTAAGGCTCTCAGATCATGAAGGCCTAAATGTAAAACATACAGCCTACCAGTTCCCTGAACACATGCACATAGAGAGAAGGAAAGTGGAAGCAGCTGAGTGGAGTACAGTATAGAACATACTAGACAATATAATGGAAATAGCTGTGAAACTTTGGAGGATCATACAATGCAAAAATATGCAAACTTTCTATTTTGTTGTTTGATTACATCATTTTCTAACAGGTGACTGTAGTGTGTTTTGTGTGGAAAAAAACGATGTGATGCCTGTAGTGTAGAATGAACATGATATAAATGCATATTTACATGAGTTAGTTTTTAAAGCCATTATGCAGCCATCTATAAAGTTGTCAGCCTTTCTTGTTCACATGTCCATTGAATGACTGTGTCCATGAATTGTTGTATCACTTACTTTTAGACTGCTCCACTTAAAATGCACACTTCCAAGTAATGGCAAATAGCATCCAGATAGTGTCTCCTCCGATGGTACTGTGTACTGCTTTTTATCTTGTCGACGGTTAGTCATTTCAAATGAACTCCATAAATGAGGATGATTTCAAAATTTAAAACATTTGAGCCCCCTGTCCTCCATTGAAGGATATAAACATTTCCAAGGTAATTCAAGAATCATGACTCAGTGAGAGAGAACAGTTTTGTCACTGTTGGTATGGTATTTACTCCTTAAAAAAAACAAAATTCTGAATTATCAGACTATAACTCTTGAAAAGATTAATCTGCAATATTTACGTCTATGGTAAACGCACAGTGGTATTGCTATATAGAAAGGTCTTTGGTCACACCTCACATGCAGATACTTCATTGAGTTTCTCACCTCTGGGTTTACTTTTGTATGTCTGAAAAATACAGAAGAAGATACTGTAGTGCTCCTCTAGTTTAAATGTGATACTCCCTTCACTCTTCTAGTCCTCTCACACAATGGAGATGCTACCAGGCACGTCCTGCCACTCTCTTCTGTTTAATTTTATGACCCCCCCCACCCTCGCTTGAAATGTTTGAACACCTCTCCTCTGCATGTCCTTGTGGTCACGGTTAGATGGGTGCATGGTAAAAAAGCAGCAGACAATTATTTTCCAGTCAGTGAAAGTGTATTTCATTTTAACATTCAGCAATAAAAGAGAACCTTCCCCCATGTCATTCCTGAAATATGCTAGAAAAAAAGAAAAAAAATGCGAGATTGTCATAGATTGTAAAATAAAATGAAAAATGAATCCACCTGTTCATATGAGAAAATAAATCTTTATTCATATCATTTTACGATGTAGTTATTTCTTTAGAAAGCATTGCTTTTGCATTTAATTCACCTTTTAGTGTGACTTCAGGTTTGACTCTTCTGGCATAGTGCATACGATACACAACGTGTCTCAGGAGTACACACATAAAATCTGATTCTGATATATGGTTGATATGTTGATTGAGGGGTTATATATTGAACAAAACAGTTTCACATGGTAGAAGTCATAGCTCAGTCAGAGCCAGTCACACAAGCACATTCAAAAACATGTGTGGGAAATAAGCGTAGTCAAGTTATAAAACGTATTGTCAGAAAAGTACAAAAGATAAAAACCGATGGACCTATTCTGAAACAAAAAAAATAAAGATTTATTTATTTTCCTTATCGATTTAAATCTTGATGTTTCACCAGCATTCTTGAAGAAAAATCCCATATTGCTTATTGTAAGAAATGTAATGACAAGCAGATCTTTAAGAACACGATTTTCTAGCATTAAAGTAGTACAGAGAAGATTTCTTGCTTTATTTTAGCTTCTAAATGTCCGCCCTTCTTCCAAATAAAGATCTACACAGTGTTGGGGATCTGACTGGTTTAGCTTTTGCATTACCGAGAACTCACCACTAGATGGAGCCACAACAGCAAGATTCACAAGACAAACTAGGAAAGAGCAACGTTTGCAAGGGTGAGTTTTATTCTGTATTGTATGTTATTTCCTTATTGAATATAAAATAGAAACACACTTTATACGTATTACAGCTGTGTTCATTTGGAGTGAGTTGACAGTAAACTGAACTGCAGCCTGATAAAAAAAACATCACTTTAGTTCTGAGTGCCGTTTGTGATCCAAGCAGACATCGTTGTAAATATTAGAGGTCGATTAATAGTGGAACAAGCCTCCACTTTAAATCTCAGTTCAATATATTTTTGTCACAAATATGAGATATTAAAGTACAGAACGTATTGTTACTTTACGGTGTCTTTTTAGAAGTGGAAAAAACCGCCTATTGAATTTGCCGGCATCATGCACTCATTGACAGTCAAAATGGATACCATGATTCAGTTTGTCCATTCAAAGACATGTTCGATTATCTGTGAGACTCAAAAGATTAATATTTAAAGACTGGGTAACATTTTTACCTAAAATATGGAACACCAGAGGTCATTGTTGTGATCATGAAGAGAACAGACAAATGTAAACAGGAGTAGGTTCTGTGTGTGATTGAAAAACATAATTATCTACCTGATTTCACATTTGTTACTTATTGATTGATGTCTTAGGATAAGGCCCAGGCAATGAATGACGGACGTAAAGCAGTTAAATGTAAATCCTCTTGTCGCAAACTTCTTATGTCTGACTTGTTTCAGTAATTGTATCAGACAGTGCCCATTTAAAAGGATCCTGAATAACAAATTGTGCAAAGTATTTCAGTTCAACAGAGCAAAGGGAATGAGAAGACTTAAATGTGTAGGTGTTGATTTGAATGAAAATATATTTTTGTTTTCAAATACAAGATTGCAAGTAATAAGAAGTTATACAAATACCAGTAAAAGCAAAGCACCTGTAGAAGGCACATTTTCTAAAATATAAAAACATGATTTATGCAAATCCAGACTAAAATCCTCCTATAATACAAACACACACAGATCTAATTGTTCACAGCTATTCATTTCACTGTATTGACCTGTCTTATTGCAACTCCACCTGTCTAGCAGACATACAATATAATAAGCTTTCTATTGAAATCAAACTAATAAACAGGCCGGAGAAAAAGCAGTAACCAAGATATGTTCATTGACATGTCAGGGAAACCTCAGGAGCAGAATCCATATGCCCTCAGGCCGTCTGTTTTAGGAGATCCGCCTGGGTTTCTTGCAGGATTATCGCTTCCTTTCGTGACACTTTGGAGCTTCTCCCAGTTCCCCTGTGGACAAAATAGAAAATGAAAATATTGATGAATCTGTCTCTGTCTCTCTCTCTTAATGTCTAAAATGCCTCCAGTATACTTTACTAAAAATGTATGTTTTGATTTGCAGAGATGTAAAGAAGGAACAGATCCTGTCCCCCCTGATCTTACCTGTCCTCCACATCTTGTATTGTGTCGGGGAGGGGTGAGCCAAGTGTTTCTGGAAGAAATATTGCAGCAATTCCACTGAGGATCGGAGCGCCGCCATAGATCAAACCCGAGCCATCATGGATACCCAGCCCATGCCATTCTGACTGAGGCAAGGCAAGGCAAGGCACGTTTATTTATAGCACCTTTCAACACAAGGCAATTCAAAGTTCTAAACAAAATGAAAGACTTTCAGACAAAGGCATTTAAAAACAGTCATTAAAAAGAAAAGATAATAAAAGAAACATTAAAAGAAAAAATACATGAATAAGTATATGAATAAAAAGTATATGAAACGATTCAGAACGATTTTAAAAGCAATGTATTTCTATTGGTAGTATGTTTCGTGCCTGCACCACGTATTTTTCTCCAGTCGGGTCTTAGAAGACCAGAAGCTGTGTGGTTCATAAAAACATTTTGTTACTCAATATCAAGCCACGATTACTGTTTTTATTCTAAATGTTATAATGTCTGACTCTTTTTGCCGTCCGCGAGGAAAATAAATGGGGCTCAGAGCCTCAGAATAGTGAAATCTGTATTTTTTAAATCTTTTTTTCCTTCTAATTTGTTATTATTTGGTGCAGGCACGAAACATACCAATAGAAATACATTGCTTCTAAATCGTTCTGTGTCAGAATACTGAAATCTGTATTTTTTTAAATATTTTTTTCCTTCTAATTTGTTATTATTTATATTGCTTTTAAAATCGTTCTGTGTGGCACGAAAAAAATGGGGAAATCATGTTGGTGAACACAAATCAATAGATTCATTTCGTGACTATAACACGAAATGCCGTGAGACTGGGTTGTATATTCTTAAGTTGATAGTAGGCTGATTTAGTAACTATTTTGAACTGACTGATGTTGAAACTCAGGTCAGAGTCCATGACTACACCTAGATTTCTGGCTTTATCTGTTGTTTTGAACATTGCAGACTGAAGCTCAGCGCTAACTTTTATACGTTCTGCCTTGGCTCCAAAAACCATTACCTCAGTTTTATCTTTGTTTAATTGAAGAAAGTTCTGACACATCCAGTCATTGATTTGTTCAATGCACTTACTCAGTGTCTGAATTGGAGCTTAGTCTTCTGGTGAAATGGTTACGTACATTTGTGTGTCATCCGTAACTTATTTTGTTGTTTTTCATTATCTGAGCCAGTGGTAGCATTTAGATGTTAAAGAGAAGAGCCCCCAAGATGGAGCCTTGAGGAACCCCACATGTCCTATTAGTCAACTCAGATGTGTATGTACCTATTGAAACAACGTTTTTTTCTGTCCATTAAAGTATGATTCAAACCAATTTAGAACTGTTGCCGAAAGTCCCACCCAGTTTTCTAGTAATATGTTGTAGTCCACAGTGTCAAATGCAGCACTGAGAGGGAGAGAGAACAACCATAACTCTAACATTAAAGCGATGCTTTTCCTGTAAATCAGTGATTGTGGGGCGAGTGATAAAGAATAATGTATACAAGTACTGTTATTGATTTTTTAAGAAAGACATTCAAATTGAGATTAGAGGCTCTTATTTCAGGACACAGCTGAAGGTGTACAAGAGGTACATCATTGTTAAAATGAATGCCTATCCTATAAAAGCCTATGAAAGTTCAAAGCAATGATAGGGACAGGGTTTTTAGTAACTATTTAACTGATTAGAAAAAATATGCATTTACTATGTTTGTTTTGTTGGTGACACAGTATGCAGATGATAAGCAAAGACACATATTCAGCATGACTTCTGCCAGGAAATCTTCTTCCAACAAAAAAAACAACAGCAAATAATGCCCAGGAATCAGGAAATAGAAAGACCATTATGAAAATAAACCAAAAGCCCTAAGAGAATAAATGAAAAACGGGTATGAAATACTATAGGACAGTAACACAAGAATACAGTTTAAAGGGGGAGTGATTAGTAAAATATCCATAAAGAAAAAGTAAATCTGTTTCATATGGGTGCTGCTGAGAGATAGGCTATCCATAGATCTCTTAATTTAGCTCTCAAAGTGCACCAGATTGATGCATTTAACTTCAATATTTTAAAAATAATCTTCCCGGGGGAGCATGCCCCCAGACCCTCCTAGAGGAGGTTAGGTCCACCCCCACCTAAAACATGTTCACATGGATAGGATACTAAATACATTTGCACACTTTTTATATGTTTTTTTTTTTTCCTAAGTTTCTAAAACAAAAATAAATAAATGTTTAAGATGTTT